GTTGCCATTTTTAGAATGAGCGAATGTATTAAACTTCTTTAATGGTCTATGATTTTCTCCTTCTAAAGATATGATGTCATATGGTTTACGAGAAGTGCAGACAAATTATGGCTTTCAGCCCTGAAAAAGCTCATTTTATGTGTCCCGTCTCCTTTATGTTGTTTAATGTTAACAATCTTGTATCATCCCATCTCTAACACGAGACGCGTGGCACTGATAACGGCGATCCCGCCGAAACATACGTAAGCCACTGACCATATGAAACCTTAAGAAGGCTTAAGAACATTTTTCAAAATACAATGAAGTTATAAGACTGAGGTTTTAAAGAACAGTTTATAGTCATTAGTCCACTATTCCCATTATAAAGTCTTCCAATGGTTTTCATTATTCCATTATAACGATTAAAATGCTGCATGATAGTTGAAAAGTCAAAAAACATGGGCATATTGCCATTCAAGGACATGAAAAAATCTGGCACTGACCCTTTTCCAGCTCTCCTGTATCAGGAGAGAAATGTTTCAGTGAATCCAGTCCAGTAATTAGACCTTTCCTCGAGTCTAAGAGAGATTCAGAACAATATCTATTTATTTTTCCCTCTTACGATTTATGGTAAGAGCGCATGCGCAGCAATAGTAAGAGGTGTCTGACCTCGCACAAAAGGTCGATGGTTTGATTTCGCGCTCATTTCTCACCAAGCCATCCATCCCTCCTGGGTAAGTGGATTGGTATCACGCTGGTCGCACACTTGTCGTCTGGCTTTACTGCAGGCCATCAGTCCATCTGCACACTTATTTTCCACTGCAACATCGTTTTGCTCATAAGACTTTTTCTAGTTCTTCTCATCAAAAGAGACGCCGAAACGCGCAATGGAATTTTGTTGCCTTCAATAGATGTCATTCCATAACAATATTACTATAGAATGCTTGTAAATGGATTCACTACAATTTTTTGTTTCGCTATAAAGTGTCACGAATTTGAAAAAAGCGTTCAAGAACTACATGGAGTATAACTATTGTAAATACGATTACATATATGAATTGATCCACCTCCTCGACTATTTTTTAATCTCGCTATAAACATTCAATATAGTCTGTAAGAATGTTCAAAGCCCTACCGAATTGTTACGTCAGAGCCATACACAACGTATGTGGAGATAGCACAATGTAGAATGACATTGTGTTATTACAAGTTTTTCAGTCGATGGATCGCGGCTGGTAGATATATAAACTGATTCACCTCATCAACTGTTTTTCAACGCCTCTATTAACACAGTAACGCTCTGTGGGGCGTGGTCCACTGATAAAGAGGGCGATACCTCCGCAACACGTGTATGGCTCTGACGTAACAACCTCGCTAAGGCTTTGAATATTTTTACACATTATGCGCTTGCATAGTTCGGAAGGCATCGACAGATTAAGCTTTTCCAGCAGCATTCAAAATATATATTCGAGGCAAATTAAGATCCAATGGCCACCTAATGGACTTAATACTACTTTATCATAAATTTATGTGATGAGCTGCGCTGAAATCAAGACCTTTGATTTCAAGCTGCAGTTACGCCTATCTCGACTCGTGTTAGAAATTGGTGAGAAACATTTTTATTCTTTTTCTACTGCCAATAAGAATGCCAGCTTCCAAACAGTGAGATCCTCCTAAGGATGACTATCACAACAGCTTTATTACAAAACTCCTTTTTGGGAAAAAGTTGGAGAAAATTCTGAAAAGATATCAGCCTATCACGATAGGTTTATGAATGTTCTCTGTAAGGCAGAACTTCATTTCCTAACTAATTTTATGAATCATTAGCTCCCGGTTGCGAGAAACATATTCTTTCGCTTTATTATTGATTTGACAGAAATCCTCTTTTTCTCCTCTCTCGCCTGATTTCGCGAAACTCAGTAAAGCTCGTTGGATTAATCCGCCTGCTCAGCTTTTATACACCTTCTTCTGATATATATTCTGCTCTAGAAAATATTTCTATTCATCGTAAAGTGAAACGGCATGCTATATCATGCGATGCATTTAGTGCAGATCCTTCAACTATTAATTCAGTTTCCCAGTTTTTATCTTTAGAAGGACATATTCCATATAAAAATGAACTTTTTCAACTCGTTAAAGATCGTTCGTACCGACTTGAACTCATATGGCATGGTAAATATGGCTTTTCTAAATCACATCAAACTTTTGGGCTCCTTCCAACCTTTTTTCATTTTGCAAGCCGAGAAGTAGAATGATGATTTCAGGAAAGCCGTTTGGCGTATTTCTAGTAATTAATGATTAATTATAGCTAAATAGGTACCGATTTCAGCGCGATAACCGACCACGTTGTGGTTGGCTGTCACCAAAGGATTGCTCTGAGCAAAAGCCATGCGAATCTCTGCCAACACGAATTTATCAGCGACACAATACATACGATGATTGAAACTGATTAACTATTGATCACCACTCATATAGCCCTTACGCAAATTTGTTTAAAAAAGTAAAAAAAGTCGGACAAATGCATTGGTTGCAATACACCACATTCGCGCTTTCTCCCATCCTCCACACGCGCAATGGTTGATTAATACGCTATATTAACTCACTACGTGCTAGTTGAAAAACTAGACTGAGATTCTATGAGAAACCGCGCGTGATAACGAGAAATTCCTTCTTGTGGTTTCTTTTCGGTTTTTGAGGAATTCGTTTGGAGAGACTTAAGAGTTTCAAGCACTGAAGTTTCAGATTCACATACACAACTGATGAGCTCTACAAAAAATTTTTCCGATGTATCTTTGTGTTCAAATGGAATATTTTTGTTGAGTACATTCCACTCAGATTTAAGGCTTGGGTTCTTTTGTTAATAGTAGGAAAGTGTTTGGCTGAGCAGGCTTTGTGTTATCTCCAACCACTGCAGACGTTGAAGAAGGCAAAATCCGCCGCAGTCTCACTCAGTGTGATAATAAGTATCATGTAAACAACGTGCTTTTACTCCAAAAAGGTTAACTAAGAAATATTAAAATAAGGTTGCTGGAGAAGAGGAAGAAAAAGCTAGTAAACGACAAGGACGACAGACATTATGACTACAGTGGATAGTCCGAGCCGTTTGGCAAACTCATGTTGATAAGTCGAAGTTGAAGGCAACAAAGACGACAAGTTCTTCATGGTTGTCAAAGGTCAGATATCCTATTATTTCTTTCATGTGAAGGAACTAGAGACTGTTACGAGCATTTCTGCTTTTTTATGGCTTAGGCAAATGGTTTCTCTTCAGAAAACTCACTTCGGCATGTTAGCTGAAGGCAGCGATGGTTTATTGAGAATGTGCAGTAAATTTCAATCAGTTAGTTTGAGGGCAAATCATTTGTTTACTATTCGTATTTGACAGATTGTTTTTAATCTTATACTGTACATTCCGTGAATGGCACCGTGTAGCAGAACAAATTTGGACACGTTACGCTGACTGCTGCAGAGAGGTACTAAAACATTAAGCCCCATATCTGCATTAACCATCTCACCACCAACTATTGTCATCGTTATGCGCAGTGCAGATCGCAGCTGGTGCGCGATTTTTGTTATTTGATTAGTGTTGCTGCCCATTTTGGAAATAAATTTATGTTTGCTTGAATTATTTCGATACTTAAAGATTTTCCCTACATATTCGTATGTTTTTGATGCAAGTATAACGGATATATTCGAATAAAAGCTGTATTTCACTGCACAACCACAGCGATGTTAGCAGTCGGTCAATTGTAATAATTTGTAAAAAACTATAATGATACAAATCTACCAGTTTTAATATATTTTATTTTGTACAATACTTTAAAGTCATAATAGTGATAGAAAGCGGAAAACAATGAACTGTTTGCTAGTACTTTTCCCTTAACCGCAACCATATTCAAAAAAACATATTTGTATTTTTAGTTATTTCAATAATCATTCGGTAGCTTAAATTTCGGAAATACGAGTGGTGTATTTCATTTCTCAGATGATTTTTTGCATTATGCTCCAACGGTAAAAATAAAATTATATTTCACACTTAAGCATCTTTCTCTTAACACAATTTCACTCAGACTTTCAATAAACAGTCGATAACAGAAATTTCAGCAATTCTAATGCTATGCTTGGTTTTTTCAGAAAACTTCTTAATGCGCTGTTGTAGTCAAAGAAATATCGAGCTTCGCGCTCGGCGCGATGCGTGCCGAGTGAGAACTCAATATTCTTTTAGCTGTGATAATGCACAAAGAACTTTTGAAAATCAAGCATTTCTTCTAAATTGATGAGATATGTGCTATCGAATGGTTGTTGGAATAAAAAGCAGTTTTCAGCGAAAAGTACTCAAATGTGCAACACATTTTTTTCCTACTGCTACGGCGCGCTAAACGATTTCTTACGCAAAGCAAGCACACCATTTAAATTATCGAAAATCTAGCTATCGAGCAGTTGAAAGTCGACGTCCTGATGTTAATTTTGCGAAATTCATTCACATTCCGGTGCAAGTTATAAAAGCTGCATGTCAAACACAATCTCAATTCCAGAGTAGCAGCGTTATATGTAGTTTTTTTTCTGAAACCAAGAAAACGATGAATTTGTTAGAAATTGTGCCATCGATAATACTGAATTTTCTAAGGAAAAGTTGTTTTTACTGTTAAAGCGTAATATAAAGACCTTTCAAAAAAAAAACACCTTTCAAATTCCTTAGATCTGAGCTACCGAATGTCTACTGAAATGTCTGAAAAGAACAAAAACATTTTTTAAGTGTGGGTGCGGATAGGTAAAAAGTACTCGTTAGTCAGAAAGGTGCTGCATAGTGTGAAGTTCTATGCAACGCGGGTAAATTGGCCAGTACTGATAGTTAGGATGAAGTGCTACGGATTACCTAATGTATAGATTGTTGATTTCTGAATAAATATTATAAGCAAAGGACCCAGAACATTAGTGTAAGGTTTCTTATGATTTTATTGTTTTTTCACAGTGTTATGATGTTTCAAATATCGTTAAAAGAAGTGAATGGTGAGCAAAAATTCGACCTCAGGCGGAAGTTGAACCCGAGTTTCATCTATAACGGGTATGCGTGCTACCACTACACCACAGAGGTCAGCGCTTACTCACCACTCATTCTTCATTATTTTTCTATCTTAGTTATCGACCATCAACCATTAACAGGTCTAGTCGGGCAAGGAATATCGCTCTAACCGATGGCCTCGGTGGTGTAATGGCAGCACACTCCCCGGTAGGGATGAAACACATGCTCGACACCTGTCTGTGGCTGAAATTATGCTCACCACTCAATTCTCATAGGAAATCATTATGAGGTCTGAAAAATTTTGGTCATCAATATACAATCTCTCCGAAGAACTTCTCTACAAATTGATGATTGTGGGCTCTATCAAGGATTATTTCGTTTGCGCAACACAAGTCACACCAAATAAGTTTTTGAAAGTGTCATACCTTAGAGAGAATACGTTTTTGAATTATACTTCTACACATACTCAAAAAATAAGAAGTAAGCAAAATAGAGATACGTAGCTTCCTCATTGATGTGGCCTTTATATTGAAAAGTGGGAATTTTCAGGACACGCGGGCGTTCTTTTTATCAAAAATGACCTTTATTGAAGGTATTCAGTAATATGACACTCTTCCTGATCATAAATTGTCTCTAGCGGACAAATTTCACCATATAAGTACTAATACACCCATTGCAAAGTTCAAGCAAAGGGTTAATTATTCAGAATGTAAAACGTGAGTATTCCCTTGCTACAGCACATTAAGAAATCAGTTCAGAAAAACTAAAGTAGTCTTTAGAATTCACAAAATTCAATATTTGAGCCATCGAATAATTATCAAAACTCTACTGCAAAGCCAAGCATAAACAATCGAAGCACGCAAACTATTCTGAAGATGAAACTAATTTCTGTTCGATGTTAGTACAGCGCAGTAAACAGCCTTCATCAAGAATTAATACAAAATTCAAGTTTATATTCAAATTTGCCAATTTGAAGGCGATCAAAATACTGCTAAGACTTCAGGGAAAAACTTTGTTTGCTGGAAAAGCCAAGCAAACGCGAATGCAAGTTACCCAATATACTCCGCAGATAAAACGTAAGTTTTTCTTCGTTGCTACACCTCACTAGAAAAGCGATTTCAAATATCAAGCAGACCTTTATTACCGCAATTTTTTTGGCTATCATGACCGCGAAAACTCCAATAAAAAGTCTGTGATTGTTGAGAAAACCACGAAAATGCGCGCGTGACATGAGTAGTACACATGGTCGTGAAATTGTTAAAAAGCACTCAGCATTGTATGCCATCAAAGTAGTAACCGATTTTTCAGGCTACTCAAGTAATAACCAAAAAAGTGACAAATCTTGGAAAATTCTAGTCGTAAATGCGGAGCTAAATGCCGCTGATTATCATGGTTAAATTTGATTGTAGTTCACTGTAGAGCTTGCAGATGTGTACTACATGCATTTATAAACTGGCAAATTGTGAAAGCTGTGGATTGTAGTTTTTTCAACGCACCTGTTTCAGGCGCAGATGAAGCGTCGTGAGAATGAGAGTTGAGGATAAGCAGTTTCTTAATAGATATACTATGACCATTCAAAGAGTCTGTACGTGTACTATCTTCGTCCACTCCTCAGAAACTTTTTTACTCTGTTTATCAGTGGTTTACAAGAGCTATTATGTGCACTGAATGTTACAGTTGATATTAGCGTTACAGTATAGTGTAGTGCGGTGTTAAAATATTACAGTGCAATGAATTTATAGTGTTATTCTTTGACGAGTCCAGTTACTCTTTAGTGGCTGACCCATTGTTATAGGTGTAAATGGAGCACAATCCGAATATTTATCGAAATTAGTCCATGGTTTCCGTGAGAGCCGGAAAAAGAGCGGAAAGCTGGTGCTCGAGATTATTTCAATGCTCGATTCTCAAAAAGGATAGAAAATATGTTTGAAAATTGTGTCTCAGAAAAGGCATATTTCGAGAGCCAAGTTTCAGACCACGAAATAGCGCAGGTTTCAATTTGTACAAGTCAAACGTCTAAGACATGTATGCACCAGAATTAGTCCACTTATTCATTAAATGGTTAATACAGCAGAAATAGCTCTCCATTCGACCGCTTTTTCGGACTGCGCTCAGAACACTCGGCGTCGATTCTTTCTTAGAGGAGTATAGCCTCAAGGGATTGACTGAACCAAGGGACTGTGCTACTGAAGAGTCATTGAGGACGAAACAGAAGCCTGTCTAGCACTTAGACCTGACAAACGGCTCGAAGTCTAATGTATTATTAACAACAGAAAAATCTTTTCCTCTTCCCTAACTGCAGCTTCATCCTGTGGAAATGATTTTGTACTTTTTTCACTAGAAATAATCACGCAGTACTACTCAATCACACGAACAAATTCACCGCAATAAAGCTTTTTCTGTAATCTTGTTAAGTAAGCATTTGTTCCTCTAAAGCACACTTGTTTTTGTTGAAGCATATCGATTGAATGGAACATTATGATGAGAAAAATTCATACACCAAGCTAAGCACTCACGAAGAAATTCAGCCGAATTCAATGGATATTGTTGAAATGTGTTGAGGCAGGAAATTTCTTCGTGTACAACGCAATTTTTCTTCATTATCTTTCAGCTATCTAACCACGCAATAATGCAACAATATCTATTCTGTCAGCAAGTAGCTAATAAGTCTTAACTTATATTAATGAAAGTATACATATTGATTGGTCATGCCGAGGTTAAGGGAAAGCCTGTATTCAAGATACAAGCAGCAGTGATTCGCTTGATTTCTAAGCCTATACAAAGTGTTGTAAATCTTTATTATTGCTGTTTCGGAGGTTCCACCTTCTTCAGACCACTGTGATTCGAGGCGGGTGTCCATAGAAGTTGTTCCTCCTCGTCTTGTTGGTCGTCGATATCGTCCCATCGAGGCAAACTGAGTAGTCGGAATCATCGGACTAATGAAGTAACCGATAAAACGTAATTGCAGTTCATAACAACGTCCTGTAAGCTTGTCAATAATTCAATGTATTGATTGTCTATACCAAGATTCGGGAAAGATCGTAAGTGAATGTATGTAGCAATGACACTTAGAGCAACTTGAAATGAACGTTTCGTGTTCATTATCCATGTGTTGGCGCTGGTTATACGTTTGGATCTTTAGAACGAATGATTAAATTTTTGAGTAATTCACTTTGTTGGCACTCTTTCAACCACGGGTTGTGCTGAATTTACGAAAAAGCAGTAGGTAAATCTGTTATCATTGATTTGATATATAACGAAAGTATTTCGTGGTTATCTCATGATTGATTGCAGGGTTTATTTTCTGTTAAATAACTTTCCTTGTAATGCTTTTTCTAGACCCTAATTTTTCATTTAAACTGGATGAGATGGTGCACTCACAAAAAGAAGACTATTTCTTTTTTCTTGAAAAGTTCCGACTTCGATTTACAAATACGATTCTTTTTGAGAGACTGGAGATAAATTTGTTGCTATTCATTCAGCAATCAGTCGTTATTTAAATGTAAACGGAAAAGGTTAAATATTTCAAATGGATGCGAGACGAATTGAAGGAAGAGCAAACAAATCGTCTTTGCCAAGTTTACTTTAGGCCATTTTTACGCAAAATAAAAAGAACAGTTTGCGAGAGCAGTGAAAAATGCAACGAAAGTGTAATCTGTGATAACCAACAAATTCACGTGAGTGAGATGAAGCTTCTTACCAAGGCCGAATCAGGTCATGGAGAATCATGGTGACTTCGTATTTCTCAAAGGAAAACCTTGAATACAACTTTTTGGATCGCTTTGAACCTTATCAATCTTGCCTTATTAGTTTAATCACCAAAAAATGCTATTGATTATGGTAATGCCGAGGTCCAAGAAATATCGGATTTCGAAATGCTACTTTTCTTGATCTGGCGAAGCTATCAATGAACATTGCTGCCAGTAAATCGACAAAATACTTAGCTATTGAAACCTTATGACCGACAAATATTGACATCTTACAACGCAAAATGACGCCCAGCAATATGTCGCAAAAGTTACGCTAGAGGGTTGACCGAAGTGGGCTATGAAATCTTAGCCTTGTTCAAATCCGATTTCTCGTCAGCCGATTACCGAACATCTCAAAACCTGCTGGTGGTGTAAATCTTCAATAAGAAAACCGTCGCTAAAGTGCTTTTAAGAATAAAAAATTATGTACAAGCCATAATGACTTTTGATTACAGAGATTGTGAGGGATTCAAGCTACATTTTGATAATAAATCAGTCAGAATTTGCCAATTATTTTGCATCAACTTAATATAAAAATTAAACTCGCCCCTAATTTTTCCGCATCATTATTTTATTCAGATTTTTTTTATGCTAAAACAATATTGAAGAGCCGTGGCCGAGTGGTTGTGATGCTCATCGCGGAGCGCACGGAGCCGAGCTCCACGCCCCACCTCTCGCCCGCAGTCAACAACAACACTCTATGGAACGCCACAGCAAGGCTATCCTCGAGATTGCAAGGAGACTCGCTCAACCAGTATTCTATACCGTTCAATAAAAGACGAAAAACGAATTGAATGCTTAAATACTGGGATCCGCACAGTGAAAAATAACTGTGATGACGGTTCAAATAAAGTGCTAATAAAATGAAAACAACGTAGGCTGTGATATGTTCAAGTATGTTCTGTTAGTTTAGATATACAGTGGATACGACCGTAGCACAATTGTTCTCTATGTAAATGGAATGGGCTGCTGGAAAGTGACCTCTCAATGGACCACTTCATCACATCAAGTCGACTCGCCACGATTCGGAGAAATTGGGCAGGAGCACGATACTATATCCACTGAATAGCTCTGATGCTGCTACATCGAAATAGCATTTCTTCGCGCCCCAAAACAGCGTGCGTGGGAAGAATAATTCAAAGACGACAATCAGCTCAGAAGTTACCTCACTGACTTCTTTGATCGCTAGCCTAAAAATTTTTTGAGAGGAAGACATCAAATCTTTGCTCACAAAATTATGGTATTTCGTTGATCATGATGGTGCCTACATCGCTGATAAATTTACTCTTCAAATAAATGACAACCATCTTATCAAATGTGTCG